GCAGGGAGGCTCTGAGAGGGTCACTCCTTCAGTGTGGCCACCCTGGGCTGTCCGTCACTGGCTGCAGTGGACATGAGCATGTGGGTTTCAGAGTAGGGAGCAGTGTACGCCCAGAGCTCCCACTGGCTGAACAGGACATTGTCTTCTTGTGAATCGTGTGGTCATGATCTTGAAGGTGACCTGGAATTCTGCCTTCACATGTCTTTGACCCTGTGCAGGGTTTTGGGTTTGTGTGTGTGTGTGTGTGTGTGTGTGTGTGTGTGTGTGCGTGTGCCGGTGATCACATACATTATTCTCTTCTATCTTTGTGACCATGTGTCTGTAGTTCAAAGTGTGTTTCTTTTTCGAAAAAAAATTTTTTTTTTATTTCTCATTTCCTGCATAAATTACTCTGTGTAAAAGGCCATCCGGAGCTCGGTTCCTCGAATCCTTTTTCAATAAAGCAATATTATCGTAGCCGAGTCCCAAAACTAGTCCCAGGAGAGGCTTTTCCTCGATTCTTTGTCAAACGAAATGTCACCGTCTCTCCAAATGATGAGAAGAAGAATTCTCCTTGTTTATTTCCCAGGCAAGGTGGGGCCGAAGCGTCTGTCTCCCTGCACCCTTGCCCTGGCGGGTGGGCACTGGGGCCCGGGAGTCCCCACGAACCCCTGGACTTTGCCCCTTAACCAGTTTTGTGACTTTGTGTGACCGGTTTTTAGCCTCAGTTCTTTCTATTTGTAAAAACAAACAAAAAAACAGGACAAAGTGCCCCAGTGAGTAGAGCTGTGTCAAGGGTGGGGTACAGCATGGGGCAGAGGTTCTAGACCCTCTGCTGGGCCGGTGGGAGCAGATGCCTCTTGTTCCCCCACTGTCCTCTGAACCCCACCACCGTGTATTCCGGGTGCCCTCACCCCGCATCGCCACCGGATCCCTGGGCCCCGTGCCCTCCTGGGGAACAAAAGCAGGCCCTCCAGCCGCACTGCGCCTGTCCTTCGCGGCAGTCGGACCCGCTGACCTGGAGCTGGTTCACAGGCTCTGCCGAGCAGGCCAGGGAGCAGGTTTGGGGTTATGCAACTGAGCGCAGGAGGCCGAGTGCCGGGAGAACTGTGCGGAGACACTCGGAGGGGCCGCGGGAGACCGTTAGGAGCAACTGCTGAGCTAAGGTGTGGCCTGAGATGGAGAGGAGGAAAATGCAGCTCGGTCCGCCTGGGGGCAGGAAGGGATGATGAGCCTGTGCCAGCTGCTCTCCCTGCATCCTGCTTCCCAGTGGGCCTGTGCAAGATGCTCTCTCCTCACCCTGCTCATCCCGAGATGCTCTCCCCTCCATCCTGCTTCTGAGTGAGTGAATGAGCTATGGCGGCCGGGGGAAGCCAGCCAGAGCCCCTCAGAACCCGGGTCATTCTGCAGTCTTGCTGGGGGCAAACCAGAGGAAGGAGGCCAGGCTTCGCAAAGACCCTTATCTTCAAAGAGCCTCTGTGCGGAGGTTGGTGGTGTCTCCAAAGGGGTTGTCCTGCAGGGAAGTCTCCCCCTCCCTGAAACCAGGGCTGCTCTCTTAGAGCTCAAAGGGACACTGGCCTTTGGGGTGGGTTTCCGGTCACCAGCTCTGTTCTGGGGCTGTTCCCATCCCGCTTTTCCTCCCTTGCCCCTTAATAAAGGTGTAGCAGTTTTGCAGCTCAATACGGAGCCAACCAAGGTAAGAGCATGGAGCCTGGCTTGCTGTAGGCCTGGTGCTTAGGGGGGCAGGGAGGGCCCCCGACAGGACAGAGGCCAATCACCTGGGCCTCGAGCACAAGGCTGAGAGGGTGAATTTGCCTTCTAAGAGAAGTGCCCCTAGCTTCCGGGGAGCCTGTGTGGAGGGACTCGCCTTGTGGGGGACAGGTGGCAGAGGCGAAGCATAAAGGGTGAGTCCAATCTGGTGGCGAGGACCACACGTGTCAGCCTAGATGTCCCAACATGTGCCCTGTGGGGTTCGTGCTTATCACTCCACCCTCAGCAGAGGGAATCACGATGCCCTGACCAAAACCAGCCTGTGGTCTATACGGAATGTGTCGGTGAAGGGCCACGATGTAAAGTCCGCACAGAAATGTGAACACAACGCCTTCTGTAAAATGAAGACTCAAGAATCAAGAGCAAATATGTCCCAGAAAGTTCACAGAAAAGGAACAAACTGCAGGCGTGGCAGCCCAGCACCGAGAAGTAGACCCATACATTCCTGTCAGACTCGGCTCCAAGAATGGGTATTGTTTGTTTATGATAGCGAAAATCTGGCAGGGGCATGATCGCACATCCATAGATAGAACGCCGATAGCAGTAACATGTTTCCTGTGTGTTCTACGAGGGTATTTCTGGTCTTTGGAGGGCTCCAGAAAAGCATGCATAGGAGGGAGCCTTTCAGAAGGAAGAGTTGGGCTCCACATATTAACTAAGGCCCCCTTCGTCTAGTTGTGCGATCACAGCTGACTTCACTTGATTGTGTGTGCAATAAGCAGATGTGATTGTCACTGTCACTGACCTCCCATTGTTCATTGATTTGCTCGAGCGGGCCCATTAACGTCTCCATTGTGAGACTTATTGTTTACTGTGTTTAGCACATCACGGAGAGCTTGCCAGGCTTTGCTGTGCAGGCGAGATACTCTCTGTAGCTTGCTGGGCTCTCCGAGAGGGGTGGAGGAATTGAACCCAGGTCGGTTGGGTCGTCCGCGTGCAAGGCAAACGCCCTACCTGCTGTGCTATCGCTCCAGCCCAGATGTGATTGTACAAAAGGTAATAAAAATGAAGCTGTATTTCTGTTTGCACCTCCAAAGACCGTTTTCGGGGTTAGGGACATAGGTGCAGCTGCCACGTGGAGGCCCTCCGAGTTGCTGGGCCAGGCTGTGGATGAATAAGGTCCGGCTGAAGGTCTCGGAAGCCTGAAGGTTTGAGTTCAGCATCGAAGAAAACTTGGGGGCTCTTGAGAGACTCCAATCCAGACCCCTGCAAGAGGGAGCTTGGACAAGGGCAGGGAGCCAAAGGACACAGAGACGGCTGGAAAGGGACCTGACTGCCCTGAGTCAGTGGAGGGGGCCTTCCCCCCCCACTCACCCAAGCAAGGAAGAAGCCGCTGAAAGCCTCAGTAGGAGGGGAAGCTGCCTTGTCCTTTGTCCTGTGGGCGGGGCCTGGAGACCGGGAACGGGAGCGAGGGTTGTGGTCCTGGGGATCGGACCTGGCAGTTGTGTGGGCGGGGTGTGGCCGTGTGGGCGGGGCCTGATGGTCGTGGGGGCGGGGTATGTGGCCGCGTGGGTGGGGGATTGTGGGTGTGGGGGCGGAACCTGGTGAGTGTAGGGGCGGAGCCTGATGGTCATGTGGGGGGTGTGGGCGGGACCTGGTGGTCGTGGGGGCGGGGTACGTGGCCTTGTGGGTGAGGCATAGTGGTCATGTGGGGCGGGGCCTGGAGACTATGTGGGCGGGGCGTGATGGTCGTGTGGGTGGAGCCTGGCGTGTGTGAGGACTTGGCGTGCTCACTGGGGAGGGGATCCTCGTCCTACCATTTTGTCTGGGTTCTCTGAAGGGCTGAGGATGGGGACAGGAGACCTTGGTGGTGGCTGGAGGAGCCCTGAGGATCCTGTCCCCACAGTACAAAGGGAAGGAGGGGGAGAGAAAGGGGGTACAGAGGGTGCCAGGACATCCCCAGGCACCTGGCTCACCACGCTTTGAGCAGCCCCTGGGAGAAGATGGTGGGTGCGGTGGGGTGGGCAGCCCCAGGGTGGGCACCCAGGACTGGCTGCTCAGTGGAACCTAGCTCCAAGACCTGCGTTGTGGCTGCCATCCAGGGCAGCCAGTGGTCAGGAGGTCCTGAGCTCCTGGTAAGTTGGAAGTGCCTAGCACCCCTAGTTGGGGTGTGGGGAGTGGCTTTATTTCAACCCAGAGAGCTTGGGGAGGGATGCTGCTTCGCCCGCTCCTCCACCTGCTCCTCCGCCTGTTGTCAGCTCGGTGCCCTCTCCTCTCCTGGCCGCAGAGCCCGCAGGCCCTGGACACCCGGCCCCGCTCAGCAGTGCACACGCACTTACACACAGGTGCTCACATATGCACACACGTGCGCTCATGGGCACACACCATGCTTTCACACTGCTCTCACAAGTGCCCTCACTTGCACACGTGCTCTCACGCTTTCACATAGACATGTACACAGCACACGGCCACATGCACACCTGCCTGGGCTCACACACACACACCCCTGGAGAAGGCAGCGGGAAGGCTGCGCTCGGCGTGTGTCTGAGTTGTCTCTCCCACGGCCCGGCTCCGCCTCTTGTCACAGCACCAGTGGCTTATATTCTTTGCTGAGGTGCAAATGTGTTTTACAGGCAGGCTAAGGTGGTGTTAACTTGGAGCAAGTGTGAGTGGGAAAGAAGCTTGTCTCTGCCAGGCCGGGCTTCTTGGCTGCAGCTGCCCCCACCTTCCCTCCTGTCACTCCACCGCCCCCACTCAAGCCAACCTCAGTCGGATCAGCAGGCAGCTCGGTTGGCCACGAGAACCCAAGGCGAGTGTCTGGGACGTGTCAGGCCAGGCCTGAAACCCACACGGCTCCCCAAACTCCGTTTCCAGGCCCTCGGCCCATTCCAAATATCGGGAGGCAAAATGAAATTACTTGAATCGAAAGCAGAGGCTGTCAGCGGGCCCCAGAGCGCCTGTAGGCGCCAGCTCCCCTTCCCTGCTGGCCCCTGCCGTGGGGTCCCACCTCCTCCCTCCCCCTGGCCACCCATAGCCACCCCCCCAGCTCTCCTGCTGGGAAAGTGTCCGAACCTCCCCTGAACCTGCACCCCCCACCCCCAGAGGTGCAGCTGGTGCTTCCTGTGTGTGCCCACCAGTCACCTATGATACTGCAGCAGGCGTCTGTGGTCCAAGAGCTGGCGGAGCGCACAGAGCCGAGGGCCTGCCCCCACCCATGCCTCTGGCTGTGCCCTGAGCTGCTCTGCCTCTGGGGTGCCTGCCCCCACCCTGTGCCTCTGACTGCCCCCTGAGCTGCTCTGCCTCTCTCGCAGGTGCTCTGGCTCTAGCTGACAGCGAGAGTTTCCAGCCCCACTGGGAGTGAGAAGACGGAGCTGGCCCCCGAGGACCACCCCAGAGGCAGCCAGGATCACCCCAACAGTAAGAAATGCTTCTCCTTCCTTTCACACAGAGTTCAGTGTGCATGCACACACACGCACACATGCACACACATGCACATGCTAAAGCACACACATGCACACGTGCATACACACACATGTACACCCGTGATCACACACATGCACACCCGTGCATGCACACGCACAAGCATACACATGCACACATACACACACAAACACGCGCGTGCATACATGTACATGCACACATGTGCATACATGCATGCATGTGTGATCACACACGTATATACACGTGCACATGCAACACATACACATGCACACACATGAGCATGCACATGCACACATGTACATACACACACGTGCTGGCTGACACAGCCTTGGCAAGGACACAATGCTTTTCTCATCCCTCTGCCCGCGAGCCCAGCACAGAGCCATGCCCCGGCCCCATGCCCCCCTTTCCCTCCAGGTCTTGTGAGAGTCCCGTGTCCTGTCCCAGAGGCAACACTCAGCTGGGTCCACACACACTCGGGAGCAAGCCAGTGGCTACGGAGCCCTCGGGGGTGGGGAAAGGGCAGCCCTTCTGCTGGAGGGGCTCCAGTGGCACACAGGAAGCTGCCTCTCTCGGGTTCTGAGAGAACTCCCAAGACTCTCGTTTAACAGTCTAGCCAGAGAGGAGCGGACCCCCCCGAAGCAACGTGGGGGTCTCAGGCCCAGGGCAGCGTACCTGGACTAGGCACAGGCTCCCCATGTGCCCCGCTCACTTGCGGGGATCCGGCAGGCCCACCGGCCCGCCACGTCTTCAGGCTCTTCAGGCTCTGTTCTGGGGGGCACAGGGTGAGGGTTCACGGCCAAGCTGCCCCCAAGGAAGGGGAGCGTTGGGCAGAGGGTGCCAGTTCCTGGAAGGGGCTCAGTGCGGCTGCACCCCCAGTGCCGGCCCTGTTTGGGGGCTCTGTGTTTTGGGGGAGCCGGGGCACCAGTCGAGGAAAGGGCACATGCAGAAGGGTGAAGACTTCACCCAGGTGTGGGTTGGGGGACAGAGAGCAGGGTGGGACGGAAGCCGCAGGGGAAGGGCCTCAGGTCGTAGGAACTGGCGACCAAAGGGGCTGTGACAACAAGGGAGCAGGGACAGTGGGGACGGGGATGGGGGGTGGACAGGTGATAGTGGGGGTGAGGACAGTGGAAACAGGACAGTTGGGGATGGGTGTGGCACCTTTCTTGAGGGCTGGGAAATGTGGGGGTCCCAGTGGCTGCTGCAGTTTCTGGGGCGCAGACAAGCAGGCCTGGGCACTGGGGGTCACTGGCCCCTGCTGGCTTGTTTGTCAAATGGCCGTTAGGGACAAGGAGCAGTGACACCCCCCCCCCACATAGATCCCAGTGTTGGGACCCATACTCCCAATTGTGATTGGAGGGGCTGGGCGGGCTGGTCTGCGGTGGGAGGGGCCGGGCGGGCTGACCCGGTGGGCTGGGGGTGCTCCCCCCACCCCAGTGCGGCTCCGCCAGGCTGCCACCAGCTGTCTCACTTCAATTCTTAGCTCTCTCGCTCCTTTTTTTGAAACTGTTTTGCTTACATAATCCACCCCCTCTTTATTTTCTTGCAGAGCTGCACCAGAGGGGAAGGGCTGGGGGGGGAGGGGGGCAGGGGGCGTTCCACAGCAGGCCCGGGAGCATTTACATTGTGCAATTGCAATTTAAAAATAAGCCCCGTTAATGATCTCCACACGGCCCCCAGAACCCCCCTGACACCCGCACTCTCCTGGGCTGCTCCCCCAGAGCCAGGGGTGCCTGGAGTCGGGGTTGGGGTGGGCAGGGGTGGGGATCGACTGGGAGGGCCCGGCAATCAGGCTGCCGCTGAGGTGGGCTGGGAGGGGGGTAGGGGGTCCGCGTGGAGTTGAGGACCCCAAATCCGAGCCCCCCCCCAGCTTCCTGCCCAGCTCTCTGGAGCCGCCAGGCTCTGCACCCCCACCCCGAGGCCAGGCTCCAGAAAGGCCCCAGGTGCTGGTGGGAGTTCCGGAGCCCCGAGGGGGCGAGGCACCTGGAGATGGTGTCGCTGGGAAGCCGAGGGCCCCCCCAAGCGGGTCTGGGAACTGGGGTGCGCGCGCCCCAGACAGGCGGGCAAGATACTTCTCGCCTCAGCCTTAGCGAGCCCAGCCTCCCTCCCGCCCCCACCCCACCTGTCAGCCTGGGCGAGCTCCCCAGGTCCCCCCACCACTCCCGAAGGGAAGGATGCGGAAGGTGGGGGAGGGGCGCTAATACATTGGTGCTGGCCTGGGCCACTAGCCTGACCCCCGGCCCTGCTGGTGTGTCCAGGCCCCTGGAGAGTACCCTGCCCTGGGCAGGGGTGTCCTAAATGGCCACCCAGCAACTTCTCCCATGGTCTCTGCGACACCCCACCCCCGGAAGTGTGGGTTCATCTTCCTGCATGGAGAGGGAGAGAGAGACAAGTGGGGCAGAGGCCTGAGCCCTTGTGCTAGGGGTCCCCCGGGAAGGCAGGGCTGTCGCCACGGGGCTCTGCCCAGGACTGTGGGCTGCCCTTCCCCAGGCTGAGGGGACAGGACAGGTATGGGGGCAGGACAGGGTTCTGTTGCCCCCCCCTACCTTTTGGTGCAGAGCTCAGAGGCCTCGGGATGAAACATTGTCTCAGGCTGGGGAACTGGTGGGTCCAGGGGAGTCAGGGAGGGGATGCTGAGTCCTGGGCTCGTAGGTCGAGAGACCAGATGGGTCCCTGGAAGGCTACTGGGGCTGAAACCCGGTGGCATGGGTGCCCAGGAGCACTGGACACAGCAGGTCCGACTGTCCTATCCCCCCACCCTGCCGCTGTGCCCCACCCGCTGTCCTGCAGACACCCTAAGCACCTTTGAATAGGGGTCCGAGGCCACCCGGGACTGGCAAAGGTGGAGTGCTCGGGCTGTGCACCCAGCTCTGTCCCCCAGCCCGGCTGCCCCTGCAGGACCAGGGATACCACTCTCTGACCGAGGGTGACTGGCTCGGCACCTGCCACCAGGGGCCCAGCGGTCCTGGGCATCTCAGAGAGGAATCTGGGCCCCCTTCCCCCCAGGAAGCAGCCTGGGAAAGCCAGATCAGCTGGCTCAGGTACAAAGCGGGGTGTGAGGGGCTGGAGGATAGCACAGCGGGTAGGGCGTTTGCCTTGTACACGGCCTACCAGGGTTCAATTCCCAGCATCCCATATATCGTCCCCCAAGCACCGCCAGGAATCATTCCTGAGTGCATGAGCCAGGAGTAACCCCTGTGCAATGCTGGGTGTGACCCAAAAAGCAAAAAAGAAAAGCGGGGTGTGAGGGGCTCTGCCAGTCACACCCCAATACCCCGAGACCCAGGCTCAGCCACTGGCGCTGCCTCTTCCAGGCTGCCCCCCTAGGCTCCCATCCCCGCAGCCCGGAGTCCCACTGGGCAGCTGCTTCCAACAGCCCATGACCCTGTCGACAGCCCTCCAACCTCAGCCTCTTGCCAACCCCGGGGACACCCCGGCCGGGCCCCACTGGCTGTGGAAGAAGTATTGGGGTTCTAAGAGTCCCGAGGCCCGGGTCTCTCCTGGAGGGGGTTTTGGAGGGAAGCGCAGGCCCTCTCAGGGAGCAGTCAGAGAGAAGGTGGTTCTGTCGGCACTGGGGGCCCCAGCAGGCCCCACTCTGCTCTCCTTCCCCGTGGAGCCGCCAGCCCCAGGGGCCAACCCACTGGGCTGCTTCCTCAGCTCAGCTCTTGACAAATAATAATAAACCTGGGATTCGGCGTGGCGGGGGATGCAGGCCTGGGGTGGGTTTAGGTGTGCGCGCGCCTGTGTGTGTGTGTCTGTGTGTGTATCTGTGTGTTTCTCAGTATTTCTGTGTGTTTCTGTTTGTGTTTCTCTGTGTTTGTTTTTCTGTGTGATTCTGTTTGTGTATGTTTCTGTGTGTGTGTTTCATGTATGTGTGTTTCTGTGTGTGTATGTTTCTGTGTGTGCTTCTCTGTGTTTGTTTCTCTGTGTGATTCTATGTGTGTGTTTGTGTTTCTGTGTGTCTGTGGATGTGTGGATGTGGATGTTTCTTTGTGTGTGATTCTGTGTGTGTATGTGTGTGCATGTTTCTCTGTGTGTGATTCTATGTGTGTGTATGTGTGTGCATGTTTCTGTGTGTGTGTGTGTGTGTGTGCGCGTGCTTCTCTGTGTGTGGGTGCACACACGCAGATGACAGAGTTTGTGATGACATCTTGAGGGACAGGCTGAGGCCCCAGGGTCCCCTGGTACTTGCTTGCTGCTGGCGGGCCTCTGCCCCCCCGGGGCTCCCTGTGCCCCTCGGAGACCGATGAAGCTGGGGACGATGAGGGCAGTGCCGGTGTGGGTGGTTCCTGGGCAGAGGTCCCCTCCCCAGCGGAGGGTGTGGACACCCCCTGCCAGGGGCATCCCGGGGTGAACACTCCCCACCTCCATCCCACTACCTGGAAGGTCGGAGCCCAGGCCGCGGCTGGAGCATGGGGGTCCAGGGCTGGACTCCGGTGTCTCCAGGGTCACTGCCCTCAGGAGGCCAGGAGGACGGGAGGAGAAGCCAGACCACAGCCGGTCCGGCTTTGTGCTTGGTCTCGTGTAAAGGCATCAGGCCGGGGAGGGGCAGGGGTCCTGCTCGGGCCCCTGAGGGCTGCGGAGAGGCACCGCCCCGAGCCTGCTATTTCTGGGCCCAGCCTCTGACAGAGAAGCAGCCGCTGGATGAAAGAAATTATTGTTAAGCAACTCGGCGGGAGAGCTAATGGACAGTCACCGTGACGGGGGCATTAAATTGCTGATTTGGTTTGAGAGATGTATCGGTCGCGGGTTGAAGCCGGGGAAGGTGAGGCGGCCCAGGGAGAAGGTTCCGGTCTGTCCAGTGGGAGCCCAGGAGGGCCGGGCGACCCAGTGGACAGTGGCCCAGCGGGGGTGGGGGAAGGGGTGAAAGGAAGGGTGACCCAGCCTGGGGGCTCCGTGGGGACAGAGAGAAGGTGACCCAGCCGGGGGTTGGCCCGGTGGGACAGAGAGGTGCCCCCACCTGAGACCGGCAGCTC